CAAGGGCTCACTCCATCCTCTCCTTCCTCAATGTTCAAAAGATGGCTGACGCATTCTACTGCATAGCTCCAGAAACATGGCGGTAACCCCGCTTCCAAGAGACAAGTTGCGGTTGTCATCATAATGAACTGATTGTTCCTCTCCGCCAGAGAATTGTTCTGAGGATGATTCGGTAGAGAGTGATCGAATGGGATCTTCAGTTGCTTCATAGCCGTCTCAAACTCTGGGGCTTTGTCGGCATAAGCAATCTTGATCTTCTTCAATCCTTTGAAGTGGTTTATTGCATTGACCACGTCCTTGGTAAACCTCTCTTTCGACGGATAGGCCCATATGACGCCTGTGCACCTGTCACGAATGACGAAGATCTCTCGATCAGTGCTGATCCCTTGATCAAGGATGTTCCTCGTATCGACAAAATCAAAGGTAACCAGATCTCCAAAAGCTTTGAGCTTTCTCTTGAACGCTCCTCGATGCGTCTTGAAGTGTTTCATCTTTGCTCTGATGCATGACTCACAGTAGGGATTCTTGTAACGATGTGTGAGTAGATGCTCGATTTTCCTGGCATCTGCTTTCAGAGTTCCTCTTCTCACCATTCTACTTGCACCGTCAACAACATCCACCTCGATGTCATCTGCATCATCATCGTCAGCTTCTGGTTCACTGTCTCCGGCGACATCTGATCCTACCTCATCTTCTTCTCCCGGAGATGCCTTGAACTTCTTATTCCTCTTTCGCCTTTTGACTTTTGGAGGCTCAATCACAGGAAGGTCGTCATCATCACACATGATTCCTTGAGGATCCACATCACAGTTGATGAAAGTCGATTGGTAATCAGCTTCATCTTCTCCTAGAGTGAACCTTGCGATCATCTCCGCCCTTGTATCGTCGGTGGGAGTACAGAAGTCACTGCCCTTGACAATATATGGGATGTTTCCCTCTACTTCTAACATGATTTTCTTGTAGTTCGGGGAAACCATGTACGGGTTGCCGCAGGCTGGCCATATGAATGTGTATCCTTCCTCCATGCATTTCTTTCCAACAGACAGTACTGAAGGAGACTCATCTAGGACGAATGGGGAGTAGGTAGAGTCAAATTCGTCGAAATGAATGTCGGCGACTCCTTTTGTGGATGTCACTCCATTTGCAGTATAGAATGACATTGATTGGTCGCTTTCTCTCACTTCCAGACCTAATTTCTTGGCTCTGCCTTTCGATATCAAATCATATCCACATCCTGTGTCCATGATGAACTTCGTTCTTGACCCTTTGGCTGGAATAGACAATGTCTTTGTGTCTGCATGATCTTTCTTTCCCTCGCATACATGAGGAATGACTTTATGATGGAAAACTAGGCCGTCATCTTCGTCAAAAGACATAGTGACCGATAGGTCACCCTTTGGTCCAACTGGTATTCGGACCCTCTTGATCTCAGTGTAGGGGACCATCAATATGCCTCTCGCCTCTGCGACCTTTTCTTCAAATCTGATTTGTTCTTTCCTCGTGTAGCAGGTGAGCTCTTTCTCATCGTATCGTTTGATGTCCGGACGTAGGGGTTTCTTTTCTACTACCTTCCATTTGTCCCTAACTGAGTAGATCGCTTCGTTCAACATGATCTCACAAGTCTCTTCATCAAAGGATACTTTTGCACCTCCTTCTCTTGCCTTGGCGGATGCAGCAATCCCTTCATCTTCGGATTCGTCCATGAAGAGTTCACCGTCAATGGCTGGGGCTCCAGGCTTCGCCTTAGGCTTCGGTTTGGGTTTTGCCTTGGGCTTTGGCCTATCGTCTCCTGAGTCAGCTGGTGCAGATATCCCTTTCTTAGGAGAGGCTTTTGGGTCATGGTAGAACTTGCAATCCTTCCCTTTGTCACAAGTTCCTCGAATCCACATCCAACATACTGGCTTGTCATTCTTTCCGACAGAAGATCCTCTGGATGGTGATCTGGGTTTCTTGTGACTGAATGGGCAATCTTTCCCCATAGTGCAGTTACCTTTCACGAAGTATTTGCATGGTATCTTCTTCTTGTCTGTACTCGGACTTCGGCTGCGATCCTTTCCATCACCTTTACCTTTCCCCTTTCCCCTTTTGTTCTTGTCTTCAGGATGCTTCTTGGGATTGGGTTTCGGCTTCACTGCAGCAGCGTCTTCTGAGACAACCTGTTCTTGTTGCCCTTTTGGTTTCTTCTTCGGATCAGCTGGTGCAGCTTTCAGTTTTGGAGCAGGTCCGCCTGGTTTGAGATTCTGAAAGATATTGGCCACATTCTTCACTGCCTTCTCCTTTTCCAGGATCATCCTGTCTTCAGTTTGCCGTTCGATGTGCCTTCTGATCATATCACGTAGATGTTTGTATGTCTTCTTGGCATCATCGTCGTTCATGCTGTTGTAGGCGCTGATGTCGTATGCCATGAGGTTTGAGTGCCTGATCTTTCTCCATAGGAGATCCCGACGAGTTTCGTCGCTCGGGACGTCAACGGGCTTCATTCCTGCCAGAATCTCATCCCAAGTGTGGAAGAACAACGATAAGTTCTTGTCTCCTTGATATTCTAGTTGGTAGAGGTGCATTGAAGTATATAAGACTTCCACATTTGATGTTGTCTTGAAATTCATAAGGATCAGGGCTAGGACCTCTCTTCCCTTTATGAGGCTTGATGTTCTCCCTTTTGCATTGATCCTCGTCCTCAACTTCATAGCTACACCTGAACCATCATCTTTCGCATCCATGACGACCTTGGTAAGAGCTAGGCCGAGTTTGGCATCGATTGAATGGAATCTTTGGTCTCCTGAGTCGACAAACTTGTCCGGATCAGGGTCGTCCATGGCTTCTTTGATCCAGTCGATCCAGGGCTCTTGATCTGAATCATTGGCCGCAATGATGATCGATTGAATGAGATTTGCCTTCCATAGTCCAAGATCATTGATCCTGGGCCATGACGGAACGTTTATCTTTGATTCTTCCTTCCTCGATACTTTCATGATTGTAGAGGTTGCCGGTGCAAGATGAGATGAAGAGGATGCTTCTGCTTCTGAAATCTTGTCCCTCAATGATTTGTTCGCCTCGGATAGCTCAATTGATTTCTCCCTTTCCTCGGCGTACTCATTGTGGGTTTCAGCATACCATTCATACATCTCATCTCGGCTCTCTGTCATTTCATTGTACCCGTCCTTGTAGTGCTCCGCCTCCTCTTTTGCGTTCCGAATCTCATCTTCCTCGGACGCGTGGGTTGGTAACCCGCGGTCTCTGGAACTAGGACGCTTGCTGTACCGAGAGACTATGGGTGCCATTCGTGCTTCTGCTTTTAATTTCGCATTTTCCATAATGACATTCTTTGTCTCCTTCTGGCTTTCCAATAGTGCATTCTCCAGTTCTCTGATCTTCTGTTGAATTTCAGCACCATCATCGCCGAACATAGGAGCTCTCATCATATTCTCTCTTTTCAGCTGTGCGTTGGCTTCGGATAGAGCGAGGTTGGCGTCTTTCAACTGTTGTCGTTCACGGATGGAACGTTCTAGGACTTCGTTGTTGAATATTTCTCCTTTTGCGATAACCTCCTTTGCGACGTTTGCTTCGTATTCATGGTGGCTCGCCTTCATTTCTGCCATTTCTTTAGCAGAGACTTCAGTCTGGCATACAAACATCTCCATCCTCATGCCCACTTCCATCTCTTCTATCTCCGCTCTCGCGTTGAGTTCAGCTCCACGTGCCATAGCTAGTTGACCTCGTAGATGATCAATAACCATAGCTTCCTGATTGCTCTGATCTTGAGATGAGTGAACACTGTGTTGAAGACGTCTTTCCCTGACCTCACTGTTCCATTGTTCTTCTCTCTGGTGTTGGATCACCTCGTGCATGTTGACATTCTCATCCTGTAGCGCAATCATTCTAGCTTGTATCTGGTCAGCTATTCCGACGAAGGCTGTGTTCTCATCCTGAATGGCTTTTGATCTTCTATTGATCGCCAATGAAGATTCATTCTGTTCTTGGATGTGTCCAATCGCTGCTTGAAGCTCTTGGGACATTCTGTCCTTCGTTGCTTTCACAGATTCAAGCTCTGAATGTTCTTGATGAGTTTCTTGTGCAAGCTCTTGATATCTCATGTAGATATGTTCAGCTGTCGATTCCGCCAAGCGTAGCTTGTGTTCGAGCTCTTCAATTCTTATTGTCGCTCCTTCATCTTCCTGTGTCATCTCTTGTAGATGTTCCTGCATCTTCCTGTTGTAGTCAGACATTTGCCTGAACTCCACTTCAGCCTCGTGGTGTAGTCGTGAGTATCCGGCTTGGATGCATTCATATTCTTCATGAAGAAAATTGTATGCGTTTCTCGCCGATCTCAATTCTTCACCCAGCTGAATCTCTCTTCTTTGCTCTTTTGTTCCTCTATCATCGTCACGTCTCTTCTCTATACTCCTTCTTGGGGATCTCGCGGTAGACGTTATAGGCGATGTAGATCTTGTTGTAGCTCTCATCGATCTTCTTGGTCCTACGGGTGCAAGATCGGTCAGATTCCGAGCCGGTGGCACGGATCTTTCCGAGATCTGTGATCCAGTAGGCATAGTGATAACGTCAGCATTTGCTGATGAATCAGTACCCATTGTAGAGTCTGGTGACGAAATGGTGTTGGGACCACCAGGAGCAGCGAATGAATAGGGTTCGCTTCCATTTCCTCCTGAGCTTGACATTGCAGGTTTCTGTAATGACTAGTCTTGTTCTTGGTCTCGTGTAGCTCGTACGGCTATAAAGAGCGCGTACGGCTGATAACCTGCGAGTGGATCTTAATCAGCGAAGTTTGAAGCTATCACTGACGGTCCATAAGCGGCGTAGCGTCGGAACGGAAACCGCACCTTTTCTAGTCGCTTGATCCTTGAGCCAAAGTACATATGGTACATATATATGTACAAGTTGCACTGTACATGTCGCTGCACTTCCATTCGCATTATATATATATATTTGTTTTGTTTATGTGATTAGCATGTGTATATGTTTGCTCGCTAGTTGGACCGAACCTGCCAGGCTTCCAGTGCGGGCCTTCGGCCAGCCACAAGCAAATTCAAGTGCCCTGGACATTTTACTGGAGGATGTCCATTCCTGTTCCCAAAGAGAAAAGTAGGAAAGTGAAACTATTTAGGCACAACTGTTGATTTTGCTGGCAAGCATCGAATCTGTTCCTTGCGTCAAGTGACCAGGCCTAATGAGGACTTGCAAGCAGGGCTCCACCGCAATCCGTGGCAACCGATTGATGTTCAAGTGTACAAATGGTACCTCACCAATGGAGCCACCTAACACTGCCCGATTCCTGTTTGGAGCTAGGCTGCAACTCGCCGGTTTGGCAAGTCACCACATTGCTTCTACTGCCTCAACGACTCTCTTCTGCTGTCACCCTGCCATCAAACAGAAACCAGGCTTACGCAGTTGTTTGGCTAACATCCAACCAAGAAATGCCACCTGAAGGGGGCACTCCATAAGTTCCCTGCACCATGGACCTGCAGCTGTCACACACTGCAGCAGTCTGTCTCACCTGCTGTCCACTTAGCAAAAAGCCTGAGAACATCATCGAGCATCCCCTCATTGGTGTGGTCGAAAGGAAAACCATGGAGGAATATGACCTGAACTAGAAACGTCACGGTTCCACTAGTTGCTTGCGCTTGAAAGTCCAGAGTGAGTATATTATGTATGTAATATATATATATATACATACATAAATAGCCGCTGGGTTCAAAGGCCCTAAAGCTCGGGCTATCGGGAGCCCTAGGCCGGCTGAGAGTGCGGACTCTGACCGGTGTCAACGAGGAAGAGTCCGTGCTCTTCTCCCGGCGCACCTTTGTTTAGGTGTTCTAGTGGCCCGACCGTTGTTCCTTTGCCACGGACCTGCACAGGTGCTTGATCTGGCCGACCAGGTTCTAGCTGGATCAACGAGGACTATGTTCAGGTCTCTCCACCATGACCTTTCAGCGGCTTCATTTCCGCTGCAGGTGAGTGGACGAGCGTTCATCGCCGGTGAGGCTATTTGCTGCGCAGGTGATTCAATTGAGCTTAAGCCTCTCGCCTTTTCCCCAGGCAAAGGCTTCCACCAAGCTGACTCTGTCCCTGACAAGGTTGTTCCTGTATGCCCAGGTGCACAGATGATCTGTTGTGGCACGTTGCTGTCCTCACGGAAGTTGCATGTATACAACTTTGCCCATTCAGCCTCAGTCCACTTTCGCCCGGAGCTTGACTGCACTTTTGGGTGGGATTGCACCCACCTTTTTTGTGGAGGCCTCTGTGGATGGAGCCAAGCAATGGAATGGCTCCCAAATGCTGGTTTCGGATTTCGCCAAGTCTTTGTGGACCATGATGAAACGATCCTTCAGCTGTGCAAGGCCCGCCACAATTGTGAGATGCTTCGATGTCCCATCCGACCGAGCGAACCCTGGAATCCGGCTGGGAAGATTGCCATTGTGGGTGATGTCGCCGACCCCGCTATACCGTTTGTCCATAGATGCCAGGTCAACCTCATGTGCACGCTTTCGCCACTGTGCCAATCGTGGTCGAAGGGTGGCAAGTCATGGGGTCTCATGGACCCGAACGGATGGTCCTTTGTAGCTGGTTTGGAACAAGTTTTCATGCTGCAACCCATCCTGGCCTGTGCAGAATGTGTGGATGAACTGGCTTCGCACGCTCACTCTCAACTTGTACAGTGTATAGCTTCCATGTTCGGGTACAGAATGATTTGGTCACAGATCGTCCCTTACCACGAGCTAGCTCACCACTGTCGAACTAGGTGGTTGTGTGTATGGGTGCGTGCTGACATCCCCGCAGAGCCGCTTGGATTTAGCCTGCCGTGCTCCATTGCGCCAAGAGTCCCGTGGAACGATGATCGCTACCAGTTCTGCCTTCCTAAGGTCTGGAAAGAACAGGCACGATTGAGCAGTTCGGAAGCCGCCATTTACAATGATCCGCAACTTGTTCCTGCCGCTAAGAGGGCAAAAATTGCTGCTTCCACTCGACCTGATGCTGGTCTGCAGGGCCGTCTAGCCAGCCCTACAGAGCCTCTCCCTACTCTCTGTGCTTCGTATTCAAGGCAGCACCATTTGTCAGCGGAGCATTTGCAAACGAAAGGCATTTTCGCAGTTCTCAAGCAACAGGATGGTTTCTATTGCTTTCTTGATCCAGCCCACTTTTGCAACCTTTTCGGTCTCACTGCAGAACTCTTGCTGCCGAGCAAACTTTCGCTTGCTTTTAAAGTGGTAGGAAATGCAATCACCATCCCACACAGTGTCATGTGCATTTGTGTCGGCCTGTATGCAGCGCTGCCTGAATCCATTGATCCTGTCTCTGTTATGAGAGAGGCTTGGGAGCATCGCCTGACGGCCAAAACTGCTGTCCTGTTCGAGCAAGGTCCATTTGTCCGTCTCATGCCTACCACACAAGTGCACCAGTGCCTGACTCCTAAGGTCATCTCTCAAGGACAAGGTGAATGGCGTGTTCAATTCAGTCTTGATGTTTGGGCCACGACCTTGGAGACCCGAGCCATGTCCAAGGCCATTTTCATCGAGGTTTTCGCTAGCGTGGTGGATGGCCCTGATGGACTTTTCCAGCAATGCTTCTTGATCTCTTCTGGGTGCAAAGGCAACATCGCAATGAGCCTGCGAGAACTTGCTGCTAATTATTGCTGATGATTGGGAGCTTTTTGTTGCCAGCGAGTGCCTTGTCAGGTGCCGATTGACCCTGCAGCCAGTTGAACAACCATTGACTACGTCCGTGTCCTGCTACGGTACCGATCATCGACCTTGTGAATGATGCCATTGAGTTGCAGCTTCCTGGCACCTTGGAACTGTTTGGTAGCTCAGAAATCTTTGCGAGGCTCCTTGAGATCATGAAACCGATTGACTTCGTGAAAGGATCTGTGGTTCAAGGTTTATGTGGTCCATCACTTGCTACCAGGAGCCGTGCGTCTCGGGCGCAATCAAGCTAACTACGATGAAGTCCTTGCTGGAATGCAACGCTTGCTCTCATCCAATGAGCGGTTGATTACGACATTGGCCCATGAAGGGGAAGCTGGCTCAAGCCCCTCTTTCCGCATCATCCATGTCTTTGAGGAGCTTGCACAGAGTGATGGCATTGCTGTTGCAGTTCGCGTTCCCGCCGAAGAGCGCGTAATGCATTCTATTGTTGGCAGCGCTCCGATGCCTCTTCCAACTTTCCAGTTCCAAGGATCCCTACATGAGGTTGCACTGATCAATGGAGTACCAAGTGATCAACACGTTGGTTCCCTGCAGCACGGTGCCCTTTTGAGCCTTCGGAGAAGCCATGAGATTCGTGCGGGGGGTCATCACCTTTCCTCCGGAGCAACACCAACTCTTGCTGCTGGCGCTGATTTTCAGGCCCGAGCTGAATACATGTGCAATACGCATGGTTGGATTGCTGCAGATGAATTGTGGAGCATCACGCAGAACATCATGTTCACGCAGGATTCATACAAGTTCACTGCACCAGTTTACTGGAACCAGCAAGATTCCGACTTCACGCTGTCACCATTTGGAGAGATCTACTTGTTCAACAACACTACCAATGTGATTTGTGTGTTGGTTGATGACCATTGGGCAGCCATCGAGATCCGCAGAACAGCTGATGCTGCAAATCTCAACTTTGTGCAACTTCCACAACACCTGCAAAATGCTGCAACTCGTGTCGTGACCAGGCTCCTCGACATTGCGCCTCATCGGCTGTCCACATCAAGTGAACATGAAGAGCACCTTCCCCACCTGTGTGGGTGGCGGCTGGTGCAGAGGTGGGCCCAACTCTTCGATCTAGCCGATGAATTCCAACCCGAGTCCTTTGCTGGCGTTGCTGATCGCTTTCATGACATCATCACAATGACCATGGAGTGTGCTTTGGAAGACTGGAGGACGTACAACGCTCCTCCTCCTCTGGCTCATTTGGCTGCCCTATTGCGCAAGAAGTTCCTGATCTTCCTGGCAAGAAGAGAGTCTCAGCAGAATCCTATCCCTCAGAAAGAACTTGTTGCGGCTTGGCCAGTCAGATTGACACCGCTCTCGTCCACTCTGCCGACTCCACCGCCTTCTGCTGAAGAGGTTGCAGCTGCTCGGGCCACTGCTCGCTTGGAACACATGCTTACATACAGCGGCTGGATGGATGAAATGGATTTTTCCCTTGACGTGGCCAGAATCATCCAGCCGTCTACTCTGTTCTGTGCTCCGGCAGCGTGGATTTGACTACGCGTATGGCATGTACAATCATGTCATTTGGATGGTCATTCACAACAACCACTGGCTTCAATTCGAGTGCTATCGCAGGGGGTCTGATTCGGTCTTCATTGCCTCAGTGCCGATTCACCAGCGGGGAATTTGTGTGCCCTTGATTCAGCTGCTCCTTCGCCGTCTTGGGCTTGACCATCAAAACATTGCCGTTGACTTCGTCGACCAGACGATGCCCCGTGACCTGTGTGGATATTACCTCTTGGCCAACGCCTTCTACCGCCTTGGGCTTCAAACCCCATGACCATTTCCTCGCCCAAGGGCAACATGCTCAGCTCATTGCGCGGGTCCGAAGAGAAGCCCGGAACACATGGATTCGTGCCGAGGGCCTTCCGGACTTTGCCGTTTTTGCAGCCAGCATCCGTGATTGGTTTCTACTTCGGGTCAAGTCCAATCGCTTTCCAGACACGTATTATGCTGCTGGAACTGTTCAAGACATGCACGTTGATGCCTCAGCCTCGCCTGCTATAGCCAATGCCTCGGCCCCAAGCCATGGTGCTGGTTCGAGCGCACCAGTCAAGAGCATTGATCCGGTTTGGGTCAATGACCCGTGGGGTCGAAAAACCCCTCGACCAGCTCAGTGCAAATGGGAGGATCTGCGTATCCAGCATGAGGCGCCCTTCATTGGTACAGATGGTGCGGCCCTTCAGCAAACGCACCGCCTTCAGCTTGGCCCCAATCGGGGAGGCATCGTTTTGTTGACCAAGTCCTTTCTCTCCGAGGCATCCAAGCAAGTTGGCAAGCACGACTTGGCTGTTTTGTTGCCTGTCACTGACAACATGCACCTTCCCCATCTTGCCGCCAAGATTGAAGGACCCTACGAGGTCGCCATGCATGACGAAGCGGCCAAGTTGTCATACAAGAGGCTCACTCACCTCATCGTCCTCCAAGGGAAGTGCACCTTTAAGCTCCCTGAACCGAAGTGCAAGATCACGACTCAGGCAATGTGTGAGTTGGTCCTCGAGGTGGACTCCCGCCTCTGTGCCAAATCCGAGATTGAGAAGATCCGAGAAAGCCCGATTGCATCCTTTCGTGACTTGGTTGCTCAGGCTGTCACTGCCCTGGACTCATCGATTGCGCTGTATGGATTTCGATCTACTACTCACCCTGGAGCATCCAAGGGAGACTTCATCCTTCAGTGCATCATTAAGGCTCCGCAACCATTGCGCGTCCCTCTGCTTGAAGCGAGCGGGGCCTCGATGCTCCTAGTGCGTGACTTCTTGGAGCGAGGCCAGGTGTCTGCAGATACCACTATCCTGCCGCGGTTTTGGCTGCCAAACACCACTGAACTGCACAGCATGAGGATCGCCTTGAAAGATACACCAGGCCAAGCTGGCATCATTGTAGCC